AATGCGGCTTCCGCCCTGGCCCATATGCAGCTTGCCTGTGTGCAGCAATGGTCCCCCCGCCCCTCGCGGCACAGTGGCGCGGACACGTTAGCCTGGCTGGGACAAGGACCACGGTGGCTCTCCCGATAAACCTGCGCAAGCGCATTGCACACGTTCTGGATGAGACATTCGAGGAGATTACTGAGGCCGATTACCGCGATGTGATAAACCACATCAATGCACTATTCCGCATCTAGGCATGCATGCCTAACCCTCCTCTCCCAAAGAGCCCACACCGAAAAAATTCCTTCCCGAAAAAAAAAACCGCTTACCAGGAACCTGCTCTTCTGTTTGTCCTCCACCAAGTACCGGCAGCTGCGACTGGCTACCTTCCTCCTGGCTCGAGAAGAGCTCCTGGCTACATGGCTCCAGGGATTCCGGGGTGTCTCCATCCGGCCCACCACCATCACTCCCATTTTCCTCCTCCTCTTCCTCCTCCTCCCCACCCCCTCACACCAGCTCTGAAGTGTCCGTGGTGGTGCTCGGAGTGGAGGTGGGGTTAACCCCAAGAATCGCATCCAGCTCTTTGTAGAATCGGCAGGTCGCGGGGGGAGCACCCGAGCGGCCATTTGCGTCACGGGCTTTGCAGTAGGCACTCCGCAGCTCTTTCACTTTAATCCTGCACTGCAGGGCGTCCCAGTCATGGCCCCTTTCCATCATGTCCTTTGATACCTTCCCGAAGGTATCGTAATTCCTACGGCTGGAGCGCAGCTGAGACTGTACAGCTTCCTCCCCCCAAACACTGATGAGGTCCAGCAACTCGCCATTGCTCCATGCTGGGGCTCACTTGGCACGTGGAGGCATGGTCACCTGGAAAGATTCGCTGATAGTACTCCACACCATGCCGGGCTGAGCAAACAGGAAGGGGATTTTTAAAATTCCCGGGGAATGTAAAGGCTTAGTCACATGGTTGGTTACCTGAGGCCAGGGCAGTAGAGTTTGAACTGATGACCAGAGTGGCTAGAACAGGCATTGTGGGATACTGCCGAATAATTCTGGAGGCCATTCACAGCGCATTGGGCGGCCACACTGGCGCCGCAGTGCTGCAGCGGCAGTGCAATACTCGCTATTCCTCTCGGAGAGGTGGAGCACATGCAACGCTGCAACCACGGAGATACAGCGCTGCAAATGCCTTGCCAGTGTGGACGGGGAGTGAGTTACAGTGCTGGGGGAGCCTTTACAGCGCTGTAACTCGCAAGTGTAGCCAAGGCCATAGACTAAAAGCAAATTATCAGTTGGAATCAGATTTCCTGTTATCTCTGGTGCTGTTAAATATGAATGGTTTTGCTTCCTGGAATGGGATTGTTATGCCAGAAGATGTTAATGGCCACCATCATATGGGACATTAATCTAGAGATAATCTCTGATCTCATTAAGGTTGATAGGTGTGCTAACTACTCATGCCAAATGGAAGGAGAGATTTAACTCCCAGTATGCAGTGCTAACTGGAAACAATAGGAAATCACAGAGCCTTTTCACAAAGCCTGTGATTTTAGGGAGTTCCCTGGGACTGACTGAAAACACAAGGGCTAGGAGATGGATTGTTTGCCACTGAGTGTGTATGTATGCATGACAGGCAATAAACAAGGGAAGCATTCATGAATGTGGCCCTGGGAGGAAGCAGAGAGACAGCTTCTTTTGGGCACAGAACTCACTGGACAGGTAAGGTTGGATTTCTAAGCAAGGAAACTGCCTGCTGTTTGTTTGCCCACAAATTCCAACCAGTGCCAGAGAGAAATGCACACAGGAGATACCATAATAGTAAGCTTTAACATCCTCTGGCAGCTACATGTTCACATCTGTAGAGGAGACTTCACTAACAATTTTCCCAGCTTTATCTCTATCGTAGGGCTGGTCTACACTGCTAAGTTTTTTCACCATAAGGCAGCTTTTGGCAATGAAACAGCAGAGGTGTACACACTGCAAAGCCACTTTTTGCAACAAACTCCTCAGTTGCAGCACTGTAAAAAAAACACCTCAACGAGAGTCATAAGCCCTTTTTGTGCTAAGGTTTTATTGCCGTAGTGCTAGTGTAGACACCCATGCTTGATTTTAGCACTGTTATTGGCCTCCGGAAGGCGTCCCACAATGCCCATCCTGACCACTCTGATCAGCAGTTTCAACTCTGCTGCCCTGCTGCCAGGTAAACAACCTTCCACCCCTCCACCTTTAAAGCCCTGGGAATTTTGAAATTCTCCTTCCTGTTTGCTCGGTGTGAACAGCTCATATTGCATCCTCCCTTCCAGGTGACCATGGCGGCTCCACGCAGCAAACAATCTCCTGCTTGGACCACTGCGAAGCTAATGGATCTGATGAGTGTTTGGAAAGAGGAGGCTGTGCAGTCCCAGCTGCCCTCTAGCCATAGGAATTTCTATACCTACAGCCAAATCACGTGTACCTTGCATGACAAGGGATATGAGCGGGACACGCTGCAGTGCAGAACAAAGGTGAAGGAGCTGAGGAATACGTACCACAAGGCAAGGGAGGCAAACCATCACTTCAGTGTTACTTCCCAGACCTGCTGGTTTTATAAGGCGTTGGAGACTATCCTAGGCGGTGACCCCACCTCCACTGCCAAGAGCAAAATCAGCAGCCAGGTGTTCTGCCTCGGCAGTCTACCCCTGAGTAAATTTTTCGCCCTTCCCTTCACAAATATTCTGCGGCGTACGACACGCGGTTATAACCATAGGAACATTTTCCGCATTAAAGTCTAACCTGCCATACAGGCATTGCCAGCGTGCCTTTAATCAGCCAAACACACATTCAATGGTCATTCTGCCCCTACTCAGCCTGTTGTTGAACTGCTCCTTACTGCTATCCCTTTCTGCAAAGCTATCCACAATTGTTGAACTGCTCCTTACTGCTCATCCATGTATGGCTTCATGAGCCATGGCATTAAGGGGTACACTGGGTCTCCCAGGATCACTATGGGCATTTTGACTTCCCCTATGGTGATCCTCTGGTCTGGAAAGAAAGTCCCTGCTTGCAGCTTTCTGTACAGGCCAGTGTCCTAAAAATATTGGCATCATGCACTTTTCTGGACCACCCTGCACTGATGTCAGTGAAATGCCCATGGTGATCCATAAGTGCCTGCAAAATCATGGAGAAGTACCCCTTCCGATTGATGTACTCCATTGCAAGGTAATCCAGTGCCAGATTGGAATATGCTTGCCATCTATCACTCCACTGCAGTTAGGGAAATCCATCTCTGCAAAGCCATCCACAATTTCACGCACGCTGCCAAGAGTCATGGTCTTTTGCAGCAGGATGTGATTAATGGCCTTGCACACTTGCATTAACATAGCCCCAAGAGTCGACTTCCCCACTCCAAACTGGTTCGCAACCGACTGGTAGCAGTCTGGAGTCGCCAGCTTCCACACTGTGATTGCCACATGCTTCTCCACTAAGAGGGTAGCTCTTATTTGGGTGTCCTTGCGCTGCAGGGCTGGGATGAGTTCAGCACACAGTTCCAGGAAGGTGGCTTTCTGCATCTGAAAGTTCTGTAGCCACTGCTCATCATCCCAGACCTGCGTAATTATGTGATCCCACCACTCTGTGCTAGTTTCCCAAGCCCAAAAGTGACGTTCCACTGTATTCAGCTGTTTTGTGAATGCCAAAAGCAATTTAATGTTGCTGCTTTCCATGTCAGACCCTGCGTCAGGCAACTGTGACTGCGGTTGCCTTTATAACTTCAAAATTAACTCCACTGCTATTCACGATATGCTAGTGATAGCTAGCAGAGCAGTGGAAATCAGCATGGGATCCATTCCTGAAGATAGATGTGGCGAGGCAAGAAGAAAACAAGGGATGTTGAAAAATACCACGAACTGAAGACAAAAGCACATGGAATGCTGGGACAGAAAGCAGTGCATCATGGGGTATTGAGCCTGGACCCACGATGCGCCACAATCCCCTGCACCTTCACACAAGACTTGGCGGCAGAAGGGGGAGAGCTGCTCTGTGGGATAGCTACCCACAGTGCACTGTTCTGATTGCCGATGCAAGTGCCACAAGTGTGAATAAGCTATGCCGCCAGTGGAAGACAATGTGAACAAACAACAACAATTTTCTTTAAACGCTTTTTTATCAGCAACCAAACTCTCGGTGAAAAACCTCTGCCAGTATAGACATAGACTTAGTTTCTTTGTTACCTCCAAAGTACTTTTGCTGGATTATAGAAAAAATAATATTGATAAAAATGCATGCCTACCAGGGTCCAGAAGTTAAAATTCAACATTTAAATATCAACGTTCAAAAGAGAGAAACTCTCACCTAGGACAACAAGTAACTTGTGTGATGTCAGGAAAAAAAGAAATACTTTTCCATGGCAACCTTGAAATGCAGTTTCCATTCGTAGCAAAGATGACGTTAGCAAATAGGATGTCAATTCCTGTTATGATGCCGTGAATCAGAATTTAAGCTCTAGTGGGTAAACACTGCTGAGTTCATTACATTATCAAAGTGGTGCAGTGTGAAAAACACTTAAAGATTCCTTTAAATAGTCTCCATACAAACTAAGGTGTTAATCCTGCAATTAATTATGCCAGACAGATCCCTGTGTCCATGCAGACACTCAATGACTTTGAAGGGGCTCTAGTCAGGTCCAGGGTGTGTGAAGCAAGTTGCAGGATTGAAGTCTCACACATGCCATGTGACTATAATCAAAGCAGAGAAAATTCACAGTCTGAAGGTTTGTATTATATGTTGACCCCGCAACCTTCACTCACATAAATAATATCTGTGTAAAGGCCGTTTGTCTGAAAAGGGTTTGCAGGATTGGGGCAAACCCTTTTTCAAATTCTCTACACGTCTTTGAAGAGCAACATTATCCCAAATCAAATGTTGGGATTTTACTAGTAAAGATATTAATTGAAAGGGAGATTTTCACAGGTACAAATGGGAGTTAAGTGCCCAACTCACATGGACAAAAATTCAAATGAGAGTTTGAGAGTCAGTGAGAGTTTGCCACCTATGTCTCGTTTGTGCCTGCGAAAATCTCCCCTGACACACGCACACTCCAATTGATATTTCATCGTTTTCTCCTCCAATATTTAATCCAATATTGTCTCCATATGAATAGGAGCAGAATGAGTCTGTTGACAGAACTACTAATGGAATCCCCCTTTTAACCTGGGACCTGGAAAGTAGTGGATTGACTCATGTATAATATATCAGGAGTAGAAACAATTTTAGAGGATGTAAAATCACAGTGGAACCCAAGGGAGGATCTACAGGAGGAGGGTTTTCACTTACAGAAGAAGGATCAGCAGCAAAATGCTGATCTGGTAGCATCTCCCCTTGGCTTCTTGATTCACCAGTTACTTTGCGTAGCAGAGGATTACCTCTCTTGTATTAAAAAAGGGGTGTCAGCCCGGACTGAATAAAGGCAATCTAATGTCCTAGGCTCACCAGGACATACGGCCACCGATGACTCTACTCCCACAGCCTTCTCTAGAGGAGCAGCAGAATGGGCCCCCTTTTCCCTTCCAGAAGCAATAGAGCAGATGTTCCACTGCCACCCAGAGGCCTGGGTGACTGTAGGGGATTCTCCATTACTTGGTCTAGTAATTGGATTGCATCTGCTTATATGGGTGGGCTGAGCCAGCTCACTATTCTTCTCCAGCCATGCACAGAGTCCTCTCTTGGGTGGCGGGGACCCGCAGAGCAGGAAGCAAGGAAAGCTCACGTCGCCTCTCAGAGCTGTTTCAGGCTCTGTCCAGGCATCACTGCATTGGTTACACTCCGGTCACACATATGACCTTTTTTCCCCACAGTCACAAGGACCAGAAACGTGGTGGAGGGTTTTAAATGAAAGCTGAAATTCTGATGTAATCACATGACTCCTGGATTTGGAGACCTATGCACATGCCTAAAGTGATGGTGCCTTAATCCAGCCCTGATATCACTTAGGAGGGAAAGAAGAAAAAAGAAGGAGACATTAAAAGTAGGAATAGCAATAATCTTATCTTACTTGTGGTCTTTTAAGATCCAGGAGCAGTGATAAGAGCAACAATGCTGGAGGGCACAGAGTCCAGCTAGATCAGAATCAATTTATCTAATGGGGGAAACCTGTTTTTATTTAGGACTAGCTGCACAGGGATAGAATATCAGGGTTGGAAGGAACCTCAGGAGGTCATCTAGTCTAACCCCCTGCTCAAAGCAGGACCAATCCCCAGATAGATTTTTGCCCCAGATCCCTAAATAGCCCCCTCAAGGATTGAACTCACAACCCGGAGTTGTGTGGCCTAAGAGCCGGATGTGCTGCTCCTTCCCCTTGGCCGCCCCAAGCACCTGCTTACTGCGCTGGTGCCTGGAGCCAGCCCTGGACCTCAGGAGGTCGTCTTGTCCAACCCCCTGCTCAAAGCAGGACCAACCCCAACTAAATAATCCCAGTCAGGGCTTTGTCAAGTCAGGCCTTAAAAACCTTCAAGGATGGAGATTCCACCACCTCCTTAAGTAACCCATTCCAGTGCTTCACCACCCTCCTAGTGAAATAGTTTTTCCTAATATCCAACCTAGACCTCCCCCACTGCAACTTGAGACCATTGCTCCTTGTTCTGCCATCTGCCAACACTGAGAACAGCCTAGCTTTATCCTCTTTGGAACCCCCTTTCAGGTAGTTGAAGGCTGCTATCAAATCCCCCCTCACTCTTCTCTTCTGAAGACTAAATAAGCCCAGTTCCCTCAGCCTCTCCTCATAAGTCATGTGCCCCAGCCCCCTAATCATTTTCGTTGCCCTCCGCTGGACTCTTTCCAATTTGTCCACATCCTTTCTGTAGTGGGGGCCCAAAACTGAATGCAATACTCCAGATGTGGCTTCACCAGTGCCGAATACAGGTGAATAATCACTTCCCTCGATCTGCTGGCAATGCTCCTACTAATGCAGCCCAATATGTCGTTAGCTTTCTTGGCAACAAGGGCATACTGTTGACTCATATCCAGCTTCTCATCCACTGTAATCCCAGGTCCTTTTCTGCAGAACTGCTGCTTAGCTAGTCGGTCCCCAGCCGGTAGCAGTGCATGGGATTCTTCTGTCCTAAGTGCAGGACTATGCACTTGAACCTCATCAAATTTCTTTTGGCCCAATCCACCAAAATCCTTTTGGCTGTGTGAACTGGTCATTAAAATTGTCCCCTTATGAAGCAGCAACCTTGAAAATATCTCACTGTAAATTACTGAGTAAGTAAAAATGTCTGGAAAGTTTAGCAAAACGTAAATTAGCACATTTTCATATTTGTGGTTTTTTAAAGCCTGTATAAATCTAACTAAGTGAACAAACAATAACCAATAATCTTTATGGGAATCTCAAGATTTTAGTTTCCCCTGAAGAAGAAACTGTGATACAGCATAAAGAAACAGCCCCCACATGCTCTTTTAATCAAATCACTTTTAAAGAAATACAGACTGTATGTCTCAGGGCAAGGATAGGATTAACTTTCATGTCATATTTGGTTAAGCCTTTTGGCCAGATTTTGTCTAATTCCTTCAAGGTAAATGAGAAAGTGAGAGGGAGTAAGAAGCTTCAGTTTAGATATTCAGAGGTATTTAGACACTTAACTGCCATTGATTTCAATGAGGGTTAAGCACCTAAATACCTTTGAGGACCTGGGACTTTCTTTCCACACAAATGCCCCCAAACAGTAGCTGGGCACAATCGTAAGTGCCAATGCAGCAAACACTTACACATCTAGTTAGCTTTAAATTCATTGGCTTTAATGGGACTCCTCGATAAGGAAAGTTAAGCACCAGTAAATGTTTATAAGGTCATAGTCCCTGAGTGCAAGGATAGTGTGAGCCTTGCTCCTACAGCAGAACTGGGGATGGAGAGGGGAAGTCAGGATCTGACCTTTCCTCCCACCACACACTCATGAAGGATGGCAAAATAAGTTCTTGCGGGGGATGGAAGGGAGGGGGAGTGGAGCACAAGTTCTGCATTGTGAAAGGGTGATGATACAGCCATTATTCCCTCAAGCTCCAGGAGATATTATGTCTGTCTGTGGCACAACGTCTCCCAGAGCATCTCCTGGGCAGCTCCCCCGTCCCAACATAGGGGTGTGGTCTAAAGCCACAGCTGAACTCCATCCACTTGTAAAATTTATTTTCCAGTCCAGCAGAAGAATGCTGAATTACATCAGACTTGACACAAGACAATAGCAGCACCAAAAGCTCACCTTATTATACAAAGCGTTGTGACTGTAAGGCCTATAAGAACTGTCATGAACATCGCATAAGATGGAAGACAAATGACTGAAGGGCCCGGGGGTTAGACAGTCAGCATGGCAGATAGACTGTGGATGTAATGGGGACTTAGTTGCGGGGATCAATTTAGTCGGATACAGAGGATGGAGGGGAGCGTTGTCCTAGAGAGAAGAAAAGCATATAAAGAGTTTGATTAGTGGACAAAAAAAGAAGCCTTGTGCAGAAAAGCAAATTGTCTTCTTGGTTACTCCACTGCAACTCCACTGATGTTAATATGATTGCACCAGTGTAACCAAGGGGGGAGTTTGGGCCAGAATACAAAGCATAAATAGTCTGGAGACTTTTTAAGGTGGGATGCCTTGGTAGCAGAAGTGCTCAGAAAACAAACAATATTTGACAAATACTGTGATGTTTTTATTTCTAAATGTGACTGATTTATTATACAAGAGAAAAGTTAGAGTTAACCAAATTTATATTAGGTAATATAATAAATTTAAAGCATACACAAAAACTTTCCATCCATTTTATTCTGAATGTTTAGTAATTACATTAGGGAAGGTACATGCATATGAAACTTCCCTCCTCAATGCTTTCAGCTTTTTAGAGTAATCAATAAGACAGAAAATGGATTTTACAAGCTCTTTGCAGCTGACACATTTAAGATCACTTAAAATGATTCTCCAAACATTTTTAATAAAGGTTAGAGAAGGATGCAGGGGGCTATGCTTTTCTGGCAAAATCTCAATCATGTTTTGCCACTGCTTTGATAAATCCAAATCTCTTCAGCTTCTCTCCTTCACTTCCAGTCTAGTTAATGAGCTGGGAGTTGGATTTGGCCATCAAAGCCCTCCCATTTATAGTGCCTGGAGATGCCATATAACAGGATTCTTTGTAACTGTAGCAATCAGCTCCAGGGTGAGAGAATAAACTATTCACATACATAATGTAAGGCCATGGATATACTGAGTATAGAAAACAAGTGGCTGTTGAACCCAATAGAAAAAAAACCCAGTCAGAAAGGTAGAAGGAAATAGACACCTGACAAATATCAGTGTTCACCAACGCTGCATGCTGCTGTTCTTCAGAATAATCCCTATTCCATCAGTGACACAAAGTTTGGACAAAGTTCCTTTTGGCTTTGTTTCAAATTAAGTTTCATTTCTCTCTGGTTCAACATGGTTACAAATGGCTTTACTTTTAAAGATAAAGAATAGGACTGCTCTTATTCTTAATACTCTTACTTATAAAGAGCTGTAAATGCTCGCAGTTCTCTAGGACCCCATTATTAATTGTTGTTGGTACATTATATTTTCAAAAGAAAAACCATCAGAATTCAATCCTCCAGTGGAGCCTATGGTGAAGCCAGCATGTTAGGAGTTGTACAAAAATTATATTATTCATTCAAATTTTCAACCTAATTTAAAATAATTTATTTTTATTTTATGGTGTTCTATTTTATGGTTTTTATTTTATGGTTTTCAATTGGGGATGTCCACGGATTAATGTGTTATTATGAGATCATGTTCCGTTTCATAGCTTCTGTATGGAAGAAAAGAAAACTGCTCTATCCTGTTTTCATTCTAAATAGGGCTGTCAAACATTAAAAAATTAATCACATGATTAAAAAACTTGCAATTAATCGTGCTGTTAAACAATAATAGAATACCGTTTATTTAAATTTTTGGATGTTTTCTGCATTTTCAAATATATTGATTTCAATTACAACACAGAATACAAAGTGTACACTGCTCACTTTATATATTTTTTACAAATGTTTGCACTGTAAAAATGATAAAAGAAATAGTATTTTTCAATTCCCCCATTACAACTGTAGTACAACCTCTTTATCATGAAAGTTGAACTTACAAACGTAGAATTATGTACAAAAATAACTGCATTCAAACACAAAACAATGTAAAACTTTAGACCCTACAAGTCCCCTCAGTCCTACTTCTTGTACAGCCAATCGCTCAGACAAACAAGTGTATTCACATTTGCAGGAGATAATGCTGCCCACTTCTTGTTTACGTCACCTGAAAGTCAGAACAGGCATTCACATGGCACTGCTATAGCCAGTGTTGCAAGATATTTACATGCCAGGTGTGCTAAAGATTCATATGCCCTTCATGCTTCAACCACCATTCCAGAGGACTTATCCATGCTGATGATGGGTTCTGCTCGATAACGATCCAAAGCAGTATGGACAGACGCATGTTCATTTTCATCATCTGAGTCAGATGCCACCAGCAGACGGTTAATTTTCTTTTTTGGTGGTTCGAGTTCTATAGTTTCCACATCAGGGTGTTGTTCTTTTTAGAGTTCTGAAAGCATGGTCCACACCTCATCCTTCTCAGATTTTGGAAGGCACTTCAGATTCTTAAACCTTGGGTCGAGTGCTGTAGCTATTTTTAGAAATTTTACATAGGTAACTTCTTTGCGTTTTGTCAAATCTGCAGTGAAAGTGTTCTTAAAATGAACAACATGTGCTAGCTCATAATTCAAGACAGATATAACATGAAATATATGGCAGAATGCAGGTAAAACACAGCAGGAGACATACAATTCTCCCCCAAGGAGTTCAGTAACAAATTTAATTGGAAGCATGTCCTCTGGAATGGTGTCCAAAGCATAAAGGAGCATACAGATGTTTAGCATATCTGGCACATAAATACCGTGCAATGCTGGCTACAAAAGTGCCATGAAAACACCTGTTCTCACTTGCAGGTGACATTGTATATAAGGAGGCAGCATTATCTCCCATAAATGTAAACAAACTTGTTTGTCTTAGCAATTGGCTGAACAAGAAGTAGGACTAAGTGAACTTGTAGGCTCTACAGTTTTACATTGTTTTGTTTTGGAGTGCAGTTATGTAACAAAAAAAATCTACATTTGTAAGTTGCACTTTCATGATAAAGAGAATGTACTATGGTCATTATATGAGGTGAATTGAAAAATACTATTTCTTTTATCATTTTTACGGTGCAAACATTTGTAATAAAAAATAATATAAAGGAAGCACTGTGCACTTTGTATTCTGTGCTGTAACTGAAATCAATATATTTGAAAATGTAGAAAAACATCCACAAATATTTAATACATTTCAATTGGTATTCTATTGTTTAACAGTGTGATTAAAGCTGCGATTAATTGTGATTAATTTTTTAAATCATGATCAATTTTGAGTTAATCACGAGTTAACTACGATTAATCGACAGCCCTAATTCTAAATCATGCAAGTGTATAATACATATCCACAGATGAAAAAAATACAGGGAGTCCTTGAACAGTTGCATAAGACATGGTGTTAACCAACTCGTTATGCCCATAAAGGTCTTAGCATCCACAAGACACAAAATCTATCATTTTGATACTTTCATGAAAATTGAGTCTGTCAATCATTCATTAGCATTTGTAAATAATGCACACTCTCCACTAGCAAATATATCCTTTAAAGCAGCCTTGCAGAATCATCATTAAAATGTACCAGCCAAAGAACAAAGTCTATTCCCATGATGAGGAAAATGCTAAAAATTATGGTATTCTATTGAACCATCAAAAACTTACTCATCCATTTAATGGACATATAGAATTCTTAAATGCTTAAAGGCTCAGAAAATGTAGGCACTGAACCTCAATGTTTCCATAATTAACCAGCCCCATAAAAATATTAATATCTATCTTTCTTGCTGAAAATATAACTGTGTTTTCAGAACGGAAAGGTAACTTCATGGTACATTAATTGATTAAATAGGTAAATGATGATAGTAACTTCAGTGAATGGTCACTGCTAAAAGCTACACTTCTCTTCTGAAAAACAGCAAATCAGTATGAGCCATTACAAGAAAAAGCCAAAATAAAATCAATGTTTTCCCTGAATATATACATTTTATTGGCACATGGGCATACAGGCAGGACCAAAACATTGATAAAAAGAGCTCCACCCATTTGTATAATTCTACATCTTTTCCAGGGGAATTTTAACAAATTAAGGAACTCCATTTAATTTAGCCTCAAAAAATGATCAGCACACCATTTCAACATTGCCAAAATGCAAGTTCATTCAAAGCACAACAAAATATTATTTTCCTACTTTACATAATAAGATCCTACAAATGAAGACATTCGGGTAAAGGTAGAAGATGAATAATGCAAAAACACATATGTGAAGAACTGCATGAAAAATGCTGAACTTAAAAGCAAATTTTAATACTTTTGTTGTAAGGACAAAGATATTTTCCATATGGAGCAGTTTTGCCTGTCCCATTATAAGTGAAAAACTACTCTCTGCCATGCAAATTATGAGATCCACACAGGAAGTGGTGGAGCTGAAGATCACCAAATACAGCTGGCTGCATCACTAGGTCTCAAACTGAATGTCACCCACATGATCACCAGTGCTCATTGTCAAACGGGGAGGCGTGACAGGAAAGGGAAGGAGGTGGTGCAGATTTCTAAGAAAAATCAGAAGAGAAGAGTAAATACACTTGACTATTTAGAACATCACCTACTCTATTTGCTCTTAAGTTCTATCATGTCAAGGAATTCCTCTCTCTGTCTCATGTATGTGAAGGAGAATGTTAGCAACATGACTTGGAAAGGGAAATGTGGAGAGACTGTGATATTGTAAGGACAGGGAAGGAATACAAAAAGAGAAAGAACAGAATGATGAACCTTTTAAAAAAGGAATTAAAGATTTCCAAAGCCCCAATTTCCATGGAAAAGGGGGAAAGATGGAGACAATAAAAAAAAATCTTTGTTTTCAATTACATCAGACATAATGTTGCAGGATTCTGTCTGTCTCATCTAAGAAATTCTATAGTGAGTCAAAGATTTGAGCAAGCAAAAATGATCATCAACATCATTGTGTAAAAAGCTATTTAACTATTGTGACAGCAAGTAAAAAAGTGAAATGAATCAAAGGCTCCACTGGTAAGGAAATTAAGAGAAGTACCATGCATGAAAAAAATGTGAGGAGATCATACTTTAGCAGCCATGGGGAAATAAAAAGGTGAGATGGTCAAGTTTTACAGCTAGATGAGCTGCTTACATCAAAGACTAATCCAGTGAATCTGTACAAGTAGCAGTGGTTGAATATTAAAAATAAAATCTCAAATACTTTATTGAATAAATGTACTAAGTTCAGTTCACTACGTTTCAGGGG